TGACAGAGTAGTACTTGACATGAATTGATGAATAATTTACTGAGTAAACACTGGATCTCTATGATTGATAAATATATCCAATACAATCCTTCCTTCCCTAAGCGCGAACAAATGTCATGGACAAGAGGGAAAAAATCAATGTCTTTGGTTACCGATATTTTAATCAATTAAGTCTTTATTTACCATTTCATTTATCATCAATTTTCTGATCCTACTGTTCAAGAAAATGGGCTATAGATTTTTAATTATCCCAGTGAGAATTGATTTGCTTTTGGATATTTTCTGCAATGATCAATATTTTCACAGAAAATTCATTATTAAACACCGTCAAAGCTTAAGTATTATCCATTGAGCTATTTGTAAAATGCTTTATTGTATAGTTGATACTTTGAAAATAGACGCTGGAGAAGTGGCATTTTATCATCAATTAATGATTTTTTACGAGATGCTTTTATGCTGGTTGGATGGAAAATCGATGATCATAAATAGAAGCTGATATGAATTTCAGTAGTACAAATAGTTTATCTAAATATTTGAAAAGCGAACGAGAACACAGATGGGGACATTCGAGTGTATTTGAAGACAAAATTACATAACACCTTAGTGAAATCTAAGAACCAAACAGTAAATACTTAATTTTCAAAATATCAATCAATTATCCCAAACTTGACTGTTCCTTTCGCAAATATCAATCAATCGTCTAAGACTTAACTGTTCCTGCATTTTCATATCAATTGCTTACTGTTCCCGTTCTTTCTGCCTCAACCTTTTGCTGCCAGACATTCTAATCCTGACTATCATTATACACTGCTAATCTCAATATAATTGGCATACACCACACTACTAGTTATCTAATCATTAACAGCTCAACGATATTGTTTCTGACCACAACACTGAGTGAATTAGATTTAACTTTAAATAGGAATATAATTTCCATTAGGATTGCGGAAAAGACCTTTTAACTAGGAGCATTCTATAGTTGCAAAACTAAGCTGAGTTTGAAACATCATTTGGTCTCGCACCCGAACGCTTTATCCTTATATCATTGAGCTGGGATCCAACGGTGTTAATATTTAACTTCAATCTATGCATGATGTTGCGCTGTCCAGTACTTCCAGGTTTTCAATGGTATTTTAGCTTAGATTGACCCATGAATTCAACTTCGAAAGTACTACAATCTTAAAAAATCCCCAAAATCGACAAAACTATTGATATGATCGAGTCGAATGTATCAATCACAATCAAAAAGGAGGCAATCGATTGTTTCATCCAATCCATATTGCAGACATGATTATGTGAACACATAAATAAAGCATGATATTGAGAATTGTCACAGTATATTCATATATTTAGAACGTTTCCAAGTATTAGTAATTTATAAGCAAATAAAGAAGGAATTTTTTGAATACTTTTGACCAGAGTATCATATTATTCACCCTTTCTCTAAATGTATCTACAAAAAGAAATGTATGCACATGTCAAGATAAAGTTTCTGCCGTGAAAGCCTCAATTTAGAAGCCAGGTTATTAATTGGTCCCAGGGTTAGGAACAATTTTCATGCACAATAGCAAATTTATGGATCTGAAAATATATTTGGTTGACTTACTCATTTGTCATATAAAAGATCATTAGTTCCTTAGATCACTTCTCTGATACTGTTACTTATCACTTTATGCCGATTTCTATACTTTGGTACAGTGTCTAAACTAGAAATTGTGGACTGAAACATCATGCTACACGAGTCCAGAATCTGTGTTTGGAAACATTATGATCTGGTAACAATGATGATAAGAAAGGAAATGAATAACTTTAAAGACAATTGATTGAGACTTTTATAATAATTAAAATTTAAAGCCCACAACACCTGTTACTAAGCAATACCCCTGACACTGATTACAAAGCGAGGAAATTGAAATCCAGTTCGCACAATCTAAACACAGCAAACGTAGCATAAATAAGTAGATTTAGATAAATTGAATCATCAGTAGAAAACTTGTTTTATATAGATAACAAAAACTTTGAACAACCTATCAATAACATGTGAACCTGATTAAACTCTAGGACGGTTGGAGAAATTATAAATAACGACTGCACATAACTCCAGCCGAAAAGACTGACCTGATTGAATTATTGCGATGAAAGACTAAATACCCTTTCATAGTTATTACAGATCTGTATAATAAAAATCAAATCATATTATGTCCACGCTTAACTCTGATGGACGGGTGACTAAGAAAATCTTAGCATTTATAATAAAAAGCTCTCACGAATCTTGCCAACTAGCAACACGTGTGGCACTATTAACATATCTATTTGTCCTTCGAATGGCAGGTATGCACCAAAATGGTTCATTTTGCACTAATTCAGCGTTGTCGAACATAATTTTCGAAGACTGATAACATACATAGGTGAGAGACTTTTTTAAAGCTTCCTCTTGGAAGTAATCATGAAGAAAGATGAATACTTTCTGGTTGAAGTTCACTCGATAATTGTAACTTACGTTCGGAAATGTAAAGTAATATAATCCAAAGTCGATCGCAGTAGCACAATCGTATTTATTTACTCTTTATTTACTTTTAGATCATAAATGTTAATGTTAATAATATTATGATTATCATACCTTCCTACCGATTAACTTAGTTCGTTTTTCTCTCAGTAGGAAACCTTTGTTCGAGGCTTCACGCCAGCCGGTTCTTAACAGCACAACATGTCTACAAAACTGAGACAAATTGATCTATTCCGTGAAGTTCGAACTCATTTAAAGAACGAAGATTCGGGTAGGGTAGATTGACTTATTGAAGCTCAGCTAACATTTCTCATTCCTTCTTTGAGGCAATCAGTTTGTCATAAATAAAGTTGGTAATAATATAAATATGCATTGCCATAAGTTGTTGCTCTTCATATCAGCACAATGTGCGACAATTTTGCCGATCAATATCAAAGCTGTCAGAACTACAATACTTTCGTGATCGATTCGTAAGTTGTAACAGGTGTTTAAAAACTTTTAGGTGGCCAGATTGTACGAGATCATATGTGATGATCCTCGAAAATCAACCAAAGCATGTCTAGCTTATGTGCTGATTCAAAGAAAGTTTGCATTACAATATTAATATATTTGTAGATATTCTGTGTTCACGGTTCCGAAGTGTAACCTGTCCAGAAAGTGAAACAACACAAGCCATGGATCTTGGGATTCAGGCTTTCTTACAAGACTCAAGAGATAAAGTCAATAAGCGTGGATGGCGATCCAAAGAAAGGGTGAGTTAAATGCACTATAGATCTTTGACAAAATACTGGTTTTTGTTTTGATATTAGTTTGTGATAAACATTTATACTGAGATAATTATTTTCTGTCTATCTTACTTTCAGCTGGCTTCGCAGGTGTTAGGAGACCTAACTGTAAGTTTTTTATTTCAATTATTCACAATATTGTTATACCGTTGATAGGTCACCAACCTTTTACATGACATTCAGGATTCATAAGTTAAATGATTGTTAAGACATTTGTTTGCTTATTAATGAGTATCTTTTCTTCCTTTTGTAGAACACAGCAAATGAAAGTTCAACATCAATTTAATGGACTTATTCAAAACACAAGCAATTGTTAAGAATCAGAGGAACTAATATATTAATTGAAATTTTGTACTTTATTAAACTTAAATAAGGATTTCCATGTATAACGCATCAATCTTTTAATTACGGCGACAGATTTGTTCTCCTCACCAATTGTAATTAAATTGCTTTTGCACTGAGTTTACTGTGCGAAGTTGACTGGAAAAAATGGAAAAAACTATAGAGAAATATCGCGTTAAATGATACATATTGGATAATTTCCCTAAAACTGCCGAAAAATTTGGGGTTTTATCAATAAATATAGATGGATTTCCCCAAAGTGTAATAAAATATTTGGGAAATATTGGGAAAAAAACTAAGATTTTGGGGTTTTGATGTCATTTCCCCAAAATTTTCTATAGCGGCTTCCCCGAAATTTTCGCGAAACGGGTCAAATTTTCTCCAAAATTGGGAGATTAGATATACCTCTCGAAACAGTAAACCGTCAGTTAATAACGTAGTCAACAAATATCACGTTTTATTTTAACCCATTTCTATAATAATCCTTATTGCACTTCGAGATAGATCGTCGTTGAGCACTCTAAAATAGCATCCATTTTGATATATGAATCATGATTACGTAATCCAATGTGATCAGAGTTATAACAAGAGAATTTGTGGATAAAAGAGTGAGTTCATTATTAGTCATGAAATTTTGTAAATTTTCGGTTAGTATTAACTCAAAACCCACAGTTTACATTTATCAGTTGATGAATATATCCCTAAAACAAACTGGCTGATTTACTAAAACCGTTATAATTACAAACGAAGGGTACTCTATTTATGTTAAATTCATCTGCACTATAACTAACCAATTAAATTTAAATATTTTTTCTTGCACAAATGTAATGATTGGTTATTTATCATTTGTTCACCTTCTTTTCTACTAAGTTACATTACTATGAAATCTGCACTATAAACTGTTCTGTTGAATTTGTTCATCTATCTGTCTATCTACCTATCCATCCTAATTGTTTTAATCTTCAATAACAAATAACTTGGAATTCACTGATTGATCCAAAAATAAATGTATCATATCTATCTGATCATTGTACTAGTGTACACATAATAACATAAAAAATACAAAAAGTCAATTTTTTTTTCTAAATTACATTCTAATAGCTAGTTTAAACAATCATTTTGGAGGATCAGTGTGCATTTCGTTTTCGTTAATATTATTTATGATAATCTGGGCTGTTGAAATACAACTAAAGGAACCATATTATTATTACTATTATTATTAATGATATTAAGAGATAAGCACACATACTCTTTCATATAATATAACCAATTTTCGACAATTCCTTTCTCTGTGTTTCTAAGAGAACTCTTTAATATTTCTTATCACTTCGAGTAAACAAACAAACAATTTTTGTTAATAAAGAAATATGAGTGAAACAGCCCATACATCTGATTCGGAAATGGATGATCCGAACAAAATTACAGGTCAGTCATTTTTATTAATGTTTATAGTAAGTAATTACCCTATCTGTGTGTGTGTGTGTGCAGTAAGTAGTATTTTAAAACTTTATCATCATCATATTTATTATTTATTTGATTCGGTCATGGAATCTGGAGCAATTTAAAATATCCACATACTTATTTATCCTTTCCATTTCAGTTATATATATATATATATATTGAAATCTTCTCTGATATTCAATACCAATATTAATGGGATTATTATGAAGTTATGTGAATCACTGATGATTTTTGGGAAAGGTATCTAGTTGCCTTTTTAAAAGTTCACCAGACCTATATTTATCGTCATAGTATCTAACGATCAGTTTGAATCTAGTTACTTAGTGACCGTGACTCTAAATAAGTGATTATAATCCATATTGGTTTGTATTATCCTTTTGTTGATAAACAGGATTGAATGTCTATCTGTTTTAGTTGGTATATGTGTGTCCTAAGTGAATTTCTCGATTTTTCTTATTATATTACGAGTTTCAATATATTTGGATATTAGCAAGCAGTAGAACTTAAGACACTCGTTCCGCTGTATTCTATACCTGTCAGATAGTTTTACCTGTATCTTGATGTTGATATTCCCTCATTACTTATCAGTTCAAACGCACAGGCGTTATATGCCTAGCTACTGACCTAAATTCAGTCCTGAATACTTACAATGAGATGATACAAACCCTTATAGATAAAATATTGTATTTTTTAATCAAGTTAGTGGCTATTTGGTTTCAGTTTCTCAGTGGATTTTGCGTTGGTATTCCAAACGATACGTATTAAGCTTAGTTTTTAGCCTGAATTGCAATACTGAAATGAAATTTAATTTTTATTAGACAAATTTTGAGTAGGTCGAAGCTAATGTAATCGGTTCCACTTCTAGTCATAGTTCTGGCAATGTTTTCTTCTACATGCCAATTTGTTTCATATTAACCATAAACATTTATTCACTGAAACCTATTGTATAATTCATATGAAACTGTAGTTGTTCAAAAAGTTTTATAGAAAGAGGCCATTAATTATTACCTTTATGATTGATAGACAAACATGTAAACATGTAAAACAATATGACTTTTTAAGATTGGCATGAATACAAGAGTTCACGTTAATGTCATATATGTATTGTCTTCAGTAATAATCGAATTCTATTAATTAGCTTACACTGTGGTCATCAGTTTAAGCATCTCGATATTGTGTTTACTATACTTCGATGTTAAAACTGCACAAGAAGCATTCCTTCCCTGAAGACGGTAAATAAGCTTTAGTGACGATTGTCACCTGACACGAAACCCACTTCGAACGAAGAAATCTCGCCAAGTGCCTCCAACCACCTGTCTTCATCATTGGGCTATATAATTATATGTCATGTCGTTGACACTATATTTCAGAAACACTCTCTTATTCAAGGAAAGTTAATTATACATGAATGACATATTGCTGTTCGGTGTAGACTCTGAGGCTTTTGTTCACCTTATGTAATCATGTGAGCATTTTTAAGACGCATCTATTCACCCCTAAGTAAAAATGACCTTTCAGAACTTGTCTGCCTTAACGCCTGAACTAATGATAAGAGGTAAAGTAGTTGAGCGTGTTGAGTTCTTATCTATCCTGGTGCATTAGTGTGTGATGAAATTTGAACACGGATTCAGAAAACTGGATTGATTTTTGATAACTTGTGGCATCGGAGAAATATCAGTTTATAAACCAAAGAGCTGTGAAGTGTGGCCTTTACCAACCGAACATATTAATAAGTTGCTAGTAGTTGATCATGAATGGCCAACACAGAGTGAGAAATGTTGAGGTTAAACACTGGATACTAGGAAAAGTTGGTTAATCAGTTAATGAGATGGTAAATGATCAACGACTGAGTTGGTTGGTACATGTATTACATACGTTTAGTCACCGTCTACTTCGACAAACGGTGTTGTCTGGTATAAGGGTAGGCTAGTAGAAAGCTAGGGTTGTCAAAATAAGTCGTGGTATCAGTCCATTAAGTTGTTGTCTGTTGGACTGAGTCATACATTTGTCTGTCGACAATCTGCTTAGGATCAACGCAATTTTCGCTACTCATATATCGCGACGTTGGATAACATGACTCAGGATCGGTCTGAATGGTGCAATTGAATTCAATTTTTGTCTCCCCTTAGATCCTGAGTCACGAAACCTTGTATGATTTCTTATCTTCTTTCTCTAATCAATCTTTTGTACTAGTATGGATACTATTGCTTCTTTTGCTATTCTGGGGTTCTTTTTCTTTTGTACGGAAACTTGGATTAATGCATATTCACCCTAGGTTCTACGTTGTTTTTGATTGATATATATACCCTTAGCCCATTACTGAGCATTTAACGGTCATAATGTTCTAGTTCCATGCCTCTTAACAGTGAGAATCTACAACGTCATAAAAGATTGAACTCACAAGCTTCAGGTCTCTCGGTGAGAACGTTAGCTATGGACCACTCTTTGAGATCTCATTAGTTCGTATTTCATGCTTTAGCCACAAATTAGAACAAGATTGCTCAGTGATCTCAGGTTTTTAAGATGTTTCTAGGTGATGCAAACTACGAGTACACCAAACTAGTCTTCAAAAAGCTTCTTCATGAATAACACATTCGTTACTGTTCAATCATACTTACTGGCACAATTTCCCTAACGACCGTCAATGTCGCTGAGGTTCATGAATCAACAAAAATCAGTTGTTTGAATAAATAGTTAGTGAAAACCAAGTTCTTACTTTATGTTAAGTGATGAAACTCAAACCCCGAACCTAAATTTCACGTTAGTTGAAATTAGTTAACAAGAGTTCTTTTAATTTTTTAGATTATCAACATACTTCGAGAGGTTTGAGGTAAATATTATTATCATAGTCGGGGAAGTTCTATATTTTCCTTTGAAGTTAAACATTTAAAGGTCATAATCCGTGTTCACTGCTTCAGATGTGAAGACATTATACACTAGACTAAAGTGTTATGGATGTCACCATGTGTTCATCGGTTATGGAACGCTTTGTCAATTCGTAGTGTTTTTAGCTTTCAATCGTTTTCATTCATGACCAGTTTCTGTTTATTACATAGATCTCTCGAATGAGTGCCTTGATATTGTCTGTACTTACAGGTTTTCTGTACTCCTCATAATAGTTAACAATGGAAAAAGTCAATAATGCGATTTCGATACGTTCATTCAATAAGTGCTGTAAAGTAAAGAAACACCGGTAACCCTTAACATTCGCTTGTAGATTGTGATATCATTATCACTATCGTATTCCAAAAGATACTGACCAGTTTGTTTCCGAATATTAACGATAAGGAAACGTAAAACGTCATTGTCGTAGAGTTCAATTGCGTTCAGTTGAGGAGTTCTGATTAGGTAGAAACGTGTTTGGTGGAGTCCACTGCTAACCAGTGTCCAAAAAATGTTGACTTTTTCCCACATCTAAAGAAACAGATCTTTTTCATTGAATGAAGTGATTACAGATTTTAGTCACCTAAACAGTCATTTGGTGAAGTATTTAGAGTGATTCAGCCGATAATCGTTACTGGATGTACAGGTTCATTGTCACATATTTGTTAAATAGATCATTGACTTACAAATTTTATCATCTGGGAACTGGATAAAAGCAGGTCATGAAGATTAGACTGATTCAATGAGTCGAGTGTCGAGCGACTAGTAATCTGTTTGCTCTTGTATTTCACCGAGCCTACATGTTAGATATTACGAACGATCATATGAAGTTATATGGAAATGTTTATGGAGTGGTTGACGAAGCAGAAAATAAGTCAGTTCCTGATTTTTGACATTGAATAAGGATCATAGCACACCACAAGTGATTTAATTTGTGAGTCCACTTCGGTTGATAGCAACTAAATGGTGTTGCATAATTATTATCCTTTAAAGGATATAAAGCCTTATCCCTATCTCGTTTTGAGTCATGCATAAGAAGTGCTAAATTCTCCCAACTGAAGATAAGATAGTTTTGTCTATCGTTCTCTGGTTTCCGCATACATTAAGTTTGTTGACGAAGTTTTCAAGAAAAAATCAAAATAACAGGTATTCAGTGCTTTTACGTCCTGAAAGTTCTTCAAACGATTCTTACTTACTTACTTACTTACGCCTGTTACTCCCAATGGAGCATAGGCCGCCGACCAGCACTCTCCAACCCACTCTGTCCTGGGCCTTCTTTTCTAGTTCCATCCAATTCTTGTTCATTTTTCTCATATCTATCTCCATTTCCCGGCGTAATGTATTCTTTGGTCTTCCTCTCCTCCTTCGACCTTGAGGATTCCATATGAGGGCTTGTCTTGTGACGCAGTTCGGTGCTTGCCTCAATGTGTGTCCTATCCACTTCCAGCGCTTCTTCCTGATTTCTTCCTCCACTGGGATCTGATTTGTTCTCTCCCACAGTAGGTTGTTGCTTATAGTGTCCGGCCAGCGGATCTGAAGTATTTTGCGTAGACAACTGTTAATAAACACCTGTATCTTTTGGACGATGGATTTCGTAGTTTTCCAGGTTTCCGCGCCATACAGTAGAACTGTCTTGACATTTGTATTGAAAATTCTGACTTTGGTGTTGGTTGCTAATTGTTTTGAGTTCCAGATATTCTTCAGTTGTAGATATGCTGCTCTTGCTTTGCCAATCCGTGCCTTCACATCTGCGTCAGATCCACCGTGTTCATCGATGATACTGCCCAAATATGTAAAGGTTTTTACATCTTCCAAAGCTTCTCCGTCAATTGTGATTGGATTGGTACATGCTGTGTTGTATCGAAGAATCTTGCTTTTCCCTTTATGTATATTGAGACCTATTGCTGCTGAGGCTGCAGCTACACTGGTTGTCTTCTCCTGCATTTGTTGTTGCGTATGCGATAGAAGAGCCAGATCATCTGTGTGTTCTAGATCATCCAATTGCATCCTAGCTATCCACTGTATCCCGTGCTTTCCTTCAGATGTTGATGTCTTCATGATCCAGTCGATCACCAGGAGAA